TGGCCCTGGCACCAAAATTTGTGGGTGCCTGGCCCCTTCATGGTCCTATGCCTGTGAGTCAAGAAGGGCAAATCTGTGCATTTCTGTTTGTCACTCACCCACTCCGTCTTCTGTTCAGTTCCCTACATTTCCAATTTGCAATTATTATTATTTGTAAAGTCTTCATGAGAATTCACTAGCATTTGAGAGTGAATTTATGCACACTGTACATATACACATTTTGTATGCAATTTTGTCTACTATACACATTTTTAAAAAGCAATTTCCCCAAGACAGCGCATTTTTGCATGTTATTTTCACTAACGAGTGCACTTTTATGCACACTTTACACTAGCATGTCCCTTTTTGAACACGTTACTTGGCTGGAGGACTGCATTGCAAAATTCGGAGAAGTGCAAATTTTTGAAGGATGGCTGCATTTCGGTTCCTGCCTTTTCTTTGTATTGTGTGGGTGTGCTCAATTGCTCCTCGAACATGAAAAGAGGACCGCAGGTCTGGTGGGCATAAGAAGTGGGTCAAATATGCTTTTTACTAATGATGTTCTGAGCTGAACTCACAAGATCAGTTAGGATCCTATAGTGTTCTAGATAAGATTTAAAGGTAAAGGTAAAGGGACCGCTGACCATTAGGTCCACTCATGGCCGACTCTGGGGTTGCGGCGCTCATCTCGCTTTATTGGCTGAGGGAGTCGGCATACAGCTTCTGGGTCATGTGGCCAGCATGACTAAGCCGCTTTTGGCGAACCAGAGCAGCGCACGGAAACGCCGCTTACCTTCCCATCGGAGTGGTACCTATTTATCTACTTGCACTTTGATGTGCTTTCGAACTGCTAGGTTAGCAGGAGCAGGGACCGAGCAACGGGAGCTCACCCCGTCACAGGGATTCGAACCACCGACCTTCTGATCAGCAAGTCCTAGGCTCTGTGGTTTAACCCACAGTGCCACCCTATAAGATTTAAGTTATATTAATTGCCTGCAGGAGCTCAGTGCAGCTCAGCATGGTCTTTGCCCTCCTATTTTAGCCTTACAACAACCTTGTGGTGTAGATTAGCCTAAGAGATGGCAGCTGACCCAAAGCCACCCCACCCCCCCATTGCTGAGTGAGGATTTGAACCTGATATTCCCTTCCTGGCGCAATACTCTAACCACCAAACCACAGAGCATCAACAAATACAGGCTACAGTACCAAAAAAATCAGAAGTAGTGTCTGAAACTTTGTTCTATTTGTAGATTTTTAATTACATAGGAATTTAATTAATTCCCACATAGGAGTGGGAAAGGGTTTGGATAACTTTTCCAAACTGTTGCACAGTTTAAAGAGGATCACAGGTCTGGTGGGCAATTTATGTTGGCTTGATGCTCTCCAAATTTCCACACTCCTTACTCTTGAACGACTGCAGTGCGGAAGAAATGATTAAATTTAGTTTTTGCAAATAGAAGCACGTCAAGCTTGGAACAGTTAACTGCTGTCCTGCTGCATTACTGTAAACAGCCTGAAGTTAACAGAGGGCTTTTAAAACATTCCCTCCCCAACCGCACCCGTTGTTGACATACTGACTTTTCCCACTTCCAAAGCTATTTTTTCTTTTGTTCCAACCCCAAGGAAACAAAACTGGATAGGATGTTTTCTCCACCCAGTGAGGATGCTGGTCACACCCTTTCAGGGGTCCAATAGTACCTTGGTAGGCAATGAAGAAGGTCCTCTCTGCTGCTGGCAAAGTACCCTAGGCATGACCCACAGAACATCTGCTTGAGGTTCCTCCTGAACTGTGGCTTTGGATAAATATCTAGGACAGACAGTTCATTAATTTGCTATGGCACCTAGTGCCTAACAGAGAGGATATTTACTGAGCTCCTTATATGAATAAACAGACTTTGCCCTGAAATACTCCCTGCCACTCTTGGATTCCCATGTGCTACCTTCTTGAAAATAGAAAAGATTATTACAAAGAGAAAACAGTATTTTAATAATCATCACAATGTTAAGTTGTAGACAAATATGAATATATATCCTCTAATAATGAGCACAGATTAATTAAATCTTGCAGTATATTATTCTAGAAGTGGATAAACAGACTCCATTTATTGTTCTTTTGAATGCCTTCTCTTATCAAATTTGCTATTTTTTCTATATTAACTATCTCCTAAACTTTAGATAACCAAGAATCAAACAACAATGATGTGGTGTCCTGTCCCCCCCCCAGTTTTGAGAAATTGCCATTTTAGCTGCTGTTGATAAGTGAGGTGCCATTTCAGTACCCTCCTGTGGTATGGTGCGCTTGAGATCCTCAAACAGTATTACAACTGGGTCCATTGGAAGATGGTAACCTAGGGCACTTTTCTATTTCTATCAGAGCAGATTCCCAGAAAGTCCAGATTGCAGAACATTCTTGCGACACATGAAGTAAATTTGTGTTAGGTGCCTTACATCTCCTACATTGATCGCTTCACTATTCCTTGGCTAAATTTTGCTCAGTCTAGTTGGAGTTAAACACTATAGTAAAGGTAAAGGGACCCCTGACCATTAGGTCCAGTTGTGACTGACTCTGGGGTTGTGGCGCTCATCTCACTTTACTGGCTGAGGGAGCCGGCGTACAGCTTCCAGGTCATGTGGCCAGCATGACTAAGCCGCTTCTGGCAAACCAGAGCAGCGCACGGAAACGCCGTTTACCTTCCCACCAGAGCGGTACCTATTTATCTACTTGCACTTTGACGTGCTTTCGAACTGCTAGGTTGGCAGGAGCAGGGACCGAGCAACGGGAGCTCACCCCGTTGCGGGGATTCGAACCGCCGACCTTCTGATCGGCAAGTCCTAGGCTCTGTGGTTTAACCCACAGCGCCACCCGCACCCCTGTGTTAAACACTATAGGTCATAATTATTGTGATCCCCCTCCTCTTAAAAATTACGGGTGTTTAACTCCTGCTAGAGTCACACAAAGGATAAGCCCAATTTACAGAAGCTTCAGCTTACCAGAAACATAGCCAGTTTCATAGTACTAGTACTGCATCAGTCTCTGCCCCTTTTTCTTGCCTTTTGGGAGAATTTGGGGGTGCATTTTGGAACATTGAGGCCATGTGTTCAAGCTTCCTTCTCTCCCCTCCCCTACAACCCATCCAGATAGTAAAATGTAAAATACATTTTCGTTGCAGCTATTCTGTAAGAAGCAAAATGAGATCCACTGCAAGGTGGAATGTTACATTTTTTATTTTATTTTAATGAAACTCTTACGATCACACCTAACATCCCTTGCTTCAGAAGCCATTGTCAGATAGGCTGTTGCAGGGTCACGAACACTGGGAGAAGCAGGCAAAGCGCCTTCAGCAATTTGTAACGAAAGAAAATGAACACTAGTAAAGGAAAAAATTGTTATCTAGGACAGGAATATCACGAATGCCTGAGCTAATAAAGAATTTGTATGCATACTCACTGGAGAACTTGACATAAATAATTTGATATACTAATTGACCAGGGGAAGTTTACATTGTTAGTTACACATGGAAAAATAATTAAATGGTAGATTGAAGAGTGAGTCAGATTTTTGACCTGGGGCCAGAAAAGGGATGTGAGCGGAAGAGTTTAATTGGTTATTATTGAATATTAGTTTGTTCAGGATCCAGATAAAGATTTGGAGCATTTTATTACCCTCCTCGAAGTGGTTATATACAAGAAGTCAAAGACTGGGGGTTCCTTTGAGTTTATGGTCTTTGAAATATTGCAAACATTATAATAAAGCATATTAGGATTGGCCTGTTAATGATTTAATAGTGACAGGTTATATATATCCAGTGCTGCATGTGCAAAGTTCTACGTGCACAACAGGACTTTTCCTTCCTCCCCTCTCTCAAAATGTGCCTTCCAAACTTCTGGAGCAGATTTTGAGGGTGCCCAGGGGAAGGGGCTTCCAAAGGGGAGAAGGGGAAAGTTGTGCTTTTCAAGCCAAAGTCTGCTGCATTAGTGGAACAGCAGCGCTGGATGCAACCTAAAGTGTTTGCGCATTTAATATTTATGTAACTGTAATATAAAGAACAGTCTATGTCTGATGTTCATTTTTTCCACCAGCTCCAGCCAACATGGTCAATGGTCAGGGATGATTGCAGTTGTAGTGTAGCAACATATTTTCATTTGTGAAATATTGGAGGTTAGGAGCTTAACATCACATTCCGTGGGAATGGTTGTTACTATTATATGAATGTGATGTGTGTGTGTGTGTGTGTGAGAGAGAGAGAGAGAGAGAGAGGCAATAAGAATAACTTTTTCATTTTCTCTAATTGTTCATATCTAAGATATCTAATTGTTCATTCCACATGCCTCCATTAGGTGGTGCTCCAAATATATGTTAAGCGGTACATAACAGAACTGAGTAGCTTTTAAGGTACCTAAGGACAGAAAATATATCAGTGGACAAGTGAATCTCTGTTGGCTGTACCCACGAAGTCACAGTGGGACTATAAATGATCAATTATGTCTTGCAAGGACATACACACCTGCACTGTATGATACCTTATCATCATCATGAATTGGGGGAAATGTTTCTCAGGAGTGGTGGAGCTCATCGTTAGCAGGGGGAAAAGGAAAGCTTCTTTCCTTTTCCGTAAGTCCCACCCTCCTCCTCCAGCAGCAGCAACTACTGCATTGGAAGTCTGGCTGCCATTTTGAATGCTGCACAGTCATAGCATCGCCCAGGGGTGGGTTTTTTGTGGGTGGGGGGAGCAAAGCTCAGTCACTACAAATAAATGCTCAGAATTTTGGGTGAGAAAACTCTGCAAAAGTGGATTGTTTTCTAGGGGTGGGAGGAAAGAAAAAGAAAAGAAAAGAAACCACTGGAAAAATAAATTCAGAGAAATCTTGGCTCAACCCTAGTGTCAGTAGGCATTCTTGGTAGCTTCTGAATGATCCAGTGTCTAGTCTTTACCTCAGGCTGTAAAGCATCCTAGCCCTTGTTATAGGCTCCACAGGGCCTTCCCCACAACAGTTACTTTGAACTGCTTGCCCTGTGTGGCGCTTGAGGCTTTTCACATCATCAGATTGTGCCTGTTATTAACTAGGGATGAGGGATGAATTCACTTTTGTTTGCCTGTTAACTACCCATTACGCACGTCTGGAACAAACAGCAAACTGAAGCACAGCTATCCTTTGAAATTCACGTTTTCACATTTTGAGATGGTGCTTCCCCAACCATGAACATGTACAAAAATGCATATATTGTGGGAAAGTGTGCATGAAAATGCATATACAGTGGTACCTTGGTTTTCGAATGTAATTCATTCCGGAAGACTGTTCGACTTCCGAAACGTTCGAAAACCGAAAACTCAATACGCAAGCCTCAAAATGTATGGAAAACTCAAACAGGAAGCCGCCTCGGAGGTTTTTTATATGTTGTAAGCTGCCTTGAGCATGGCATTAACTTTGGAAATGTGGCACACCCAAAAATGATTGATTGTTTATTAGGAGAAACTAAAATGTTGACAAATTTTCCTGTGGATTTTATTTTTTGTAAAAAAATGCAAATGGCTGCGGCAATGTGGAGAACTAAATTGAAGATTAGTAGGGTTGCCATACATCCAGAATTTCCCTGACATACCCAGAAAACTGTAGTCAGAAGCTGTGTCCAGGCGGAAATCGTTTGGGGAAATCCAGCCATTTTGGCCATTTCCCTCAAAAACAGCTTTAAAATATTATTTGTTATTTTGCTAAAAAAGCTCAACAGGTTTTGTGTCCAGACTTCCACTTTTTGAAATATGACAACCCTAAGATTTGAAATTGAAAAACCCAAACTGACAGATTTGTCAATCCCTGTTGTCACCTCAGCTCTCATTCTCCATTCCAAAAAAAGATTTCCAATCCTCAGCAATTTCACTTCATGTTTTCCTTCCTTCCTTCCTCTGGAATAAATCAGGTTTGCCACAAGTGGGCCTGCTTATTCTCCACAAATGCTCGGTTTAACACAGCGAAGTCAGAGCTGAAGGAGGTAGTTACCTCGATGGGAACCTTTTGTCTTTATGTTGTTTGGGGAGGTGTTTCTCTATTTGTATGTCTCTGCTCACAATTTCACTCAACCTTGAACCACGCTGAGTGTAGTATTAACACATTGAATCTGCACAGAAGCAACAGAAGGTCAACCATTATCTGATGGGTAAGGCTAATTACACCTTATTTGTACAAATGCATTCTGTGAAGAATATGCCTTGGAGTATAAAAGTAAAGAAATTGAGAAAAGTGGGGTATTGTGTATGGATAGAGGAGAAATTCGATCCACTTCACATATAAAGGTGCTTTTACCTAATTTGCACTTTCTAAAACAGTACAGTTGTACCTCGGGTTACAGACGCTTCAGGTTACAGACGCTTCAGGTTACAGACTCCGCTAACCCAGAAATAGTGCTTCAGGTTAAGAACTTTGCTTCAGGATAAGAACAGAAATCGTGCTCCGGCGGCGTGGTGGCAGCAGGAGGCCCCCTTAGTTAAAGTGGTGCTTCAGGTTAAGAACAATTTCAGGTTAAGTACGGACCTCCGGAACGAATTAAGTACTTAACCCGAGGTACCACTGTATATGAACTGAAACACAGTAATCTTTCAGTCAAGGTCTCTCCCAGCTCTGCTTTGAAATGTCAGGGATTGAACTTGCAACCTAGATGCTGTACCCCTAAGCTATGCCCCTACCCTTTGTTATGGCCTATGAAAGCCTACCCAGAAGCAAGCTGTGCTGTATCCAATAGGCTTACTCAAAGATGGAGATGGGGGAGACATTCAATTCACTTCACATTTAAAGCTGACCTGACCCTACCCAACTTGCATGTTCTGAAACAATACACAAAGTGAAACACAGATATCCTCCCAAATTCACACATCCGTGAATTTTGCAAAGAGAGTGTTGGTGTGTTGGACTATGACCTGGGAGACCAGGATTTGAATCACCGGGGCTCAGCTATGAAGCTTGCTGGGTGACCTTGGGCCTGTCATTGTCTCTCAGCCTAACCTACTTCACTGGGTTGAACCATATATGCCACCTTGAGCTCCTTGGGAGAAAAATGAGGAATCTGAAAAAATAAAGAACCAAGAGAAACCAAAATGGACAGATTCACCCACACCGAGTGGTATATAAAATGACCTGTCAAATGGAAGGGGGAATGGTTCAAAATACCCAAGGAACCCCATTGTCTGAATAGGTATGTAGCCTTTGCACTAAACAAAAGCTATCTTGAGGTGACCTTTTCGCTGTAAGGATGTAGGATGCAGAGAATGCCACAAAAAACCCGATCTACATTTCTCTCACTACTACAGCAAATGTCACTTATGGCCACCTGAGGGGTCTATTTTCTTATTTCCCCAGGAAGTGTAGTGTGTATGTGGTGTATTGTCACCTGCTAATCTCTGCCAGAAGGATAACCACAAGCTGAGCAAAATATAAATTAAGCATAGCACCACATTTTCAGACACCAGAACTGAATTATTTGCTGTGTGAGTTTGAAGAGAGCATCACAGCCAAGAAGGGTGATGACACCTTAGCCTGAAAACTACACTCTTTCCCCCTCTCCATCCTTATTTCTCTCCCCTCACTGTCCACAGCTTCTCCTGTTTGATTTTCATCCCGGCTTCTGCTGCGAAACCTCCTCTCCACAGCAGGTGAAGAAAGACAAAGGCTTTCTTTGTATGAGAGGAAAGCTTCAATACAATTTCAGCAGATGGACGAGGGTTGTTCCCTGCTATTCCTTACATTGACTTCTTATTTACCAGTAATAAAAATAATATTCCGTTTTGTTTTGTTTTGTTTTGATGTTGTAAAGATCACCCTGAGATCTTTGAATGAAGGGCAGTACATAAATCCAATAAATAATAATAACCAATTATTATTTGTCAATAATAATATTTGTCAACAGTTATGATGTTATTTTGGGACGCGGGTGGCGCTGTGGGTTAAACCACAGAGCCTAGGACTTGCCAATCAGAAGGTCGGTGGTTCGAATCCCCACGACGGGGTGAGCTCCCGCTGCTCTGTCCCTGCTCCTGCCAACCTAGCAGTTTGAAAGCACGTCAAAGTGCAAGTAGATAAATAGGTACTGCTCCAGCAGGAAGGTAAACAGCGTTTCTGTGTGCTGCTCTGGTTCACCAGAAGTGGCTTAGTCATGCTGGCCACATGACCCGGAAGCTGTACGCCGGCTCCCTCGGCCAGTAAAGCGAGATGAGCGCCACAACCCCAGAGTCAGCCACGACTGGACCTAATGGTCAGGGGTCCCTTTACCTTTACCTATGATGTTATTTAGTTGGGGTGAAGGGGAAACAAGTGTTCTTTCTCTAATTTAGCTGTAATTCCTATTAGGGCTTTCAATTAATTAAAGAAATCTTAAATGCAAAACCAATAATAATAATAAAATGATTGTTTTTAGATGGTGCTTGCATATTCCATATCTTAGAAGAGGCATTCCTTCCTCTGTGAGGGAATGCAAGGAGATTGCCTCTTCTAAAATGGTATTACTGTCTGCATTTCTTCTTAGCGTTTTTTTTTTAAACTCTGGTTAACATCTATCTATCTATCTATCTATCTATCTATCTATCTATCTATCTGCTTATAAGGTGTCCCCGGTTAAAGGATGCAACTGACACGGCTTGAAGCAAAGGTGGGCAACCTGAGGGCTTCCTGCCGCCCTCGGCCTAATTCTACAGAGGCTTTGGCCTGATTTCAAAAGCCCTCTGCAAGCTCAGACTTCCAGTGAGAATGTTCTGTTCCTTTCCCAGCAGCCTGCTAGGCAAGGAGGGGGGCAGAAGGGAGGCAGGGAAAAATGGTGGCCCTGTTAGCACTGACACTTGAATAAAGCAGAGAGAAAATCCTGGTCAATGTTTACAGAACAAAGTGAACTAAACAGTACACAACTTGAGCAGAAAGAGGGTGATTTTGCCTTTTTGGAAGGTCTTGTTCTGAGCAGGAAGACATAAACGAAACATCCACAAGAGAACTGTAAGGCCAAATGAGCACAGTGGGAGTTACTTCCAAAGAGCCATGGTGCTGTAAGTCTCCGCCTCTCCCTCCCCAGCTGTGTTCTACCATTTCATGAAAAAACCCACAAACACTTCTTCTATAAAATGCTATAACTGATAGAAGACTGCTCTCTTCCTCTTAAATAATGAAAGCCTACTAAGGTTGCCAGACCTCCAGGTCTGACCTGAACTCACTAAGTTTGTGTGGCAAATGGAGGGCTTGAATTTCCAGATGTCTCAGAGTGCTAATACTAATAAATACTAATAAATATTAAGAAGACATGCATGCAGCTTGCAGAGTTTCAACCTGGCAGGAGTTGGCTGCAAATTGCAGCATAGGCACTCAGGGCGGGGGTAGCTCTGCTCTACCTTCTTCCAATTAACCTCCGTCTCCAGGTTCTGCCCTATGACATCACAAAGGAATGCATCTGTGACATCACCAGGGACAGACCCTAAAGCCTCAGGTTTGGACCCTATGATGCTCCTGACCTGGCAACCCTGATTCAAAGGTACCTGGAGGATCATCTAGCCCAAGCCCCTGAAATGTAGGAATTCTGTCCACAGCTGCCCTGGGTGGGCTCCACCCACCAACCTTCTGGTTAACAGCCAGATGCACTGACCCATTATAATTTTAATAATAAACATAACCCCTCCCCAATTAACAATGCACAAGATGGCCTGGGAGGGGGGTCGTACTTGCACTACTTGTTTGTTATTTCTGCTGCAGCTTAGGTTGTAAGAATTATATTGCTTATTAATTCCTGTTTCTATTATGTTGCTAGCTGTCTTGAGGGTCTAGTTTTAGAACAAAGTGTAACATGTAAATATTTTAATTTACATTCCAGCAGGAGCAAGTATCTTCCTCGTTTCCTTTCCTGGCAGCTGGTGGTTGAAACTATTATGGCACATCTGCATCCTGTTTCTTCTACCAAGAAATTCAGAGTAGTACACATTCTTTTCTATGCTTTCATCATCACAACAACCCTGTGAGGTAGGTTAGGCTCGGAAATAATGACTTGCCTAATTTCACCCAGTGAGCTTCAAATCAGAGAGGAATTTTGAGCTTGAATCTCCCCCATCCTGTTCCAGCCTCCTATCTTGTTGTGCTGTGTATTTATTTATTTTATCCACCTTTCATTCCAAGGTCTTAGAGTGGGTCACAAGATGTCAGAAGTCATACAAAATTAAAAACAGTTTAAAACAAGTTACATAAAGATTAAAAAAAGAAATTTGCATGGTCATTATGTAATTCCATCCCATTCATTTCAATGTAAAGGAAAGAGGGAGATGCAATCAAATACATATCATCTGCAGAATGAAAGCAGCAATAGCAGCGAATCCTTATTGTATTCGCTGGATTGATTTCCATTCCAAACATGGGACAAATAAGTGAACATAAGCAATTTCTTCTCTAGATTCTGTTTCTGTTGGATTTCTTTGACATCCCCAAGTGTGTATCAAAACAGGCAGAGCTGTGTGCAATCTCCAATGATTTTCCTCTGAGATGAGGGCTGGTCTCCTGTCTACCTTTCATTCTCTGTCTCTTCCTTCCAAGTGGGAGCTACTTGATATTTATTGATATAGAAATGCAAGTAGCACCTGCTGTTACAATTTTCACAGCTCAGTGTTTACACTTTGCTTGTAAATTGTGGCATCTCAAAGTCTCTGCCCTGTCAGAAGCATGATTGACAGCCTGTTAACATGGTTTATCAAGATAACAGGCCTGGCATTTCCATTTTGTAACAATGACTTGTCACATTTTGCAGATACAGTGTACTTTTGATCTGGGAAGCTGCATTATGTCAGTTTAAACCACTAGTCCATTGCTGTCTACTCCAGGCATGCGGAATCTTCGCCCCTCTTGATATTGTTAATTCCAACTTGTCCCAGCCCCAGCCACACCTTCCCCTTTCCTGGCAATGGCAATGGCTTCCTGAGGTTTTAGATGAAGAGGCAAAGTAGGCCCAGGACAATTTGCTGACTGACAATCCTGAGCTAGATGGACTCTGTATAAGATAGCTTCCTAGAAACCTACATTTTATGTTATTTATCCAAAGATGAGCATGCTACCTTCTCCACAAGACATGAAGATTCATTCCTTTATTTTACAGGCCACAAGCATGTTGTTGTGAAGCACCTTGAAAGGGCAATATAAATATGTTTTTCATTTAGAGAAATAAATTAAAAATGACACAGAAGAAGAACTCTATGTTGCCACTTGGAACTTTACAGCTGGCTTCCCTTCACGATCCATGCATTTGACATATAACCAGCCAGGGAATATTTATGATTAATTCTGGCTTCCCAGAGGAGATTGGATGTCTTCTTCTATTCCTCAACCCTGTGCTTCCTCACCTCCTTTCATACTTGGATGGTGCTGACTACCCCTCTCCAAAGTGCATAGTGCATGTTCTATCTTGGGTATTAAACCTCTACCCCAAAAGGTGTAACCCAGCCCTTCCATTGGATGGGGACGATCTCACTGCTAAGACGGCTAAGACCTTCAGTACTCATAAAAGAAGGATGTGATAATCCCAGTCCTAAGGACACTTCAAAACAAGGATTTCCAGAGCCACCTTGGTGGTTATATAACTTACCCACTTTAATGCATCATGCTTTGCAATGCTACTGGTTGGATGTAATGTGTGAAGTGATGCCGGAACTCATTTCAGAAATGTGGGTTTATATTATTCTGTGAGATCTTACTGTGATTCATCATTACTCTTCCTTGGCTTGAAGGTTCGCCTAGTGTTATCTACCTGTACATTTTATTCAGCAGATAGGAGGGGAAGAAGTTGCATATTAGTAGAAGCAGGAAATGACTCAATTATTTGCATTTTTAGAGTTCTGTTTCATGGAAATATGACCTTTTGGAGTGTGGGGTGGGCACAGTGTTTCCAACACATCCTTGGAAGGAAGAACATAAGAAAGATTGTAAAGCAGTTTGCTAATGGAGTCGCTTGATGAATAATAAATAGCAGGGTTTTCTTAAACGTAGCAATTAACTCACTGCAGAACTTGCATTCTAGGGCCAGAACAAGACATGGCTGCCTCCTAAAACAGCAGGTCCATGTCTGATCTTCTTCTTTCACCTTCTCCTGCAGCATCTAGTGATACAGGCTGCATCATGTGATGGAACTGGACTGCAAGGTTTTCTTCGTCCTAATTCACAGACATCAATGTCTGGATCAAAACTGATTGATTAAATTTATAACTTCATGTTTCCTCCCAAAGTGTGTGTGTGTGTGTGTGTGTGTGTGTGTGTGTGTCTTACTTCCAGGTAAACATGTGCAGGATTTCTGCCTTCATCAAGTGAGCTGCTGCAGTCTTCATTCTTCTAGAGTCATTTATAAAAACGCAGTGGAAAAGAGCCTGGGAAGTAAGGGGCCATATTGTGAGTCCACCTCTCGCTTTCATTACTGAAAGGCCTCCTATGGAGACAAGTACCAGCTGGTGTCCATTATAGACACACAAAATGCCATGCCAACAAATTTGCAGGTCCAGCAAGACCAGGGATGATGAGAGTTGTAGTTTCACAATTTCTGGAATACCCCGTCTTAGAGCATGTCCATACACTAAGGCACTTCATTGACAGCTGTTTTCAGGAAAATGCAGTGACAACATTCCTGTCAAGTAGGCAAAGATGGGAGAGAGTTTGAGTCACAGTGCTGCAGTTTTTTATTGTGGTTTTGCAACTCCAAAGATCAGTTTTGCATCATGTTTAGTTCTGCCCATGTTACACTGTGACATGAGAATAGCAACCCTGGGCTGGTGAAATATAAGAAACGTTTTGTGTGAAAGTTAGGTCCCCAATATTGGAACAGTTTCCTAGCCTCAAGAAGGAATTTGTCCATTTATTGGGTAAGAGTGAACTCAAATTAATTGCAAGCAGGTTAGAGCTGGCATAGTTAGAGTGGCATTTGGAGCAGCTGTCTTGGCTCCTCTGCAAAACCATATTTCAGTTAGGCTTATTCCAACAACTTCAAACTGCAAAAGTTGTCCTGGACTGGCAAATTGCAATGGAAAAAATGGCAAAAGAGCACTTTGTGAATGAAGAAAGAGCAGCAAACTATGTCAGAGTTTGGCAAACATTTTAGTCTGTACCCTGGTGCCTCTCTCTCTCTCTCTCTCTCTCTCTGTGTGTGTGTGTGTGTGTGTGTGTGTTTTGACTAGTCTGGGCTCAAATTAGATTTGATATCCTGGTGTGCTTTCCAAATGTAACAACTAATAAATGAGCCTCTGTTGAAATGGGTGCAATGGAGAAACTTCCCCACTTGTCTTTTCATCTCATAGTCTTCTGCTCTAATCTTGTTTGTTCATTCAATCTGCTGCAATGTTTTTTGTGTGGATAGGATGCATATATCGCTGGTTTTGTTCATGGGGGAAAAACCTCATGAAGAATTTCAGTGTATCTAAAGATCAAGCTCTCTGGATCCCCCCACTCCCAAGAATCTGTCATGATAACGTAGCTTGAGGAAGTTATGATTATTCTACATTCCTTCATGTCAAACCATAAACATGTTAGGTCCTGTATCAGCAAAGCCAGCTCAAAGTACTCTGTTGACAGAGAAGACAAATTTCTAAGAGTCTTCACAGATAGGATTTATTTCTAAGAATACTTGACATCAGTGAGTGAGTAGAGAAGTTCTCAATAATCTGAACCTAAGCAGACAGGAACCCTAACGAGGAAGTTCAAATCACAGTGAAACCCTCTGCATGTCCACACAGAAGAAAGACCCAGGGAGTTGCTATATTTTAAACGGCGTTTCTGTGTGCTCTGGCATTCGTCATGGTGTCCCGTTGTTCCAGAAGTGGTTTAGTCATGCTGGTCATGACTCAGAAAGCTGTCTGTGACAAACGCCGGCTCCCTCAGCCTGAAAAGCGAAATTAGCAACTCCAAAAGTCACATTTGACTGGACTTAACTGTCCAGGGGTCCTTTACCTTTTTACCTTTTACCTTACTATGTATTAAACATTATTAGTAGTGGTATGCTTATCTGCAAGTCCATCTGCATGGACTGCAAGAAGAACAAACCTATCCATTCTTAAGGGAATCAGCCCTGAGTGCTCACTGGAAGGACAGATCGTGAAGGTGAGGCTCCAATACTTTGGCCACCTCATGAGAAGAGAAGACTCTCTGGAAAAGACCCTGATGTTGGGAAAGATGGAGGGCACAAGGAGAAGGGAACGAGAGAGGATGAGATGGTTGGATAGTGTTCTCGAAGCTACCGGCATGAGTTTGACCAAACTGAGGGAGGCAGTGGAAGACAGAAGTGCCTGGCGTGCTCTGGTCCATGGGGTCACAAAGAGTCGGACACAACTAAACGACTAAACAACAACAACAACAACATGCTTATCTACCAGTCACTTTCCTATAGATATGCTCAGAGCAGCACACAGAAACAGTAAACAATACAGAGCTATATATTGATAGATAGATACAGTAGAAATAATACATGTACAAAATCCATTTGACAAATTTCATCAGTTAACATTTATATCCACACCAGCTAGCTAACAAAAACATCAAAATTATTTCCCCCCTAAACTGTTTGATTAATAAGAACAATCACCAAAAATATTCACATTTACCAAAGAAGGATAGGACTTTCTTTATGTATGCCACAACAGCAGCAAGAACTTATTGCAAAGTATTGGAAGACACAAGATCTACCCACCTTGGAAGAATGGCAGATGAAGGTGATGGACTATATGGAACTGGCAGAAATGACTGGCAGAATCCGAGACCAGGGAGAAGAGTCGGTGGAAGAAGATTGGAAAAAGTTTAAAGACTATTTACAGAAATATTGTAAAATTAATGAATGTTAGAATGATGTTGGATAGAAACTAAGTGGTTTCTAGCTGTAATGTTTTAAGGGAATATGAAAAATGGACTATTAATAGGTAAAAATCTAATGTTACAATACTTTAAGATTGAAGATTAGGATAAACAAAGAGGGAGGGATTTGCTGAACTAACAAACTGAATTGGAATACAGAAAAGGGAGGCGTGAGGAGGTCCGGGAAATAAGCAAATGAAAGATAAGTAATTGAAAGACTGAATTGTTTTTAACTATTTTTATTTTCTATTTTTCTTTTTTCTTTTTTTTATTTTGTAATATTTTGAAAACCTTAATAAATATCTTTTTAAAAAAAACAAACAAAAATATTCACATTTAGCTAAATAACTGCTAAACTTTCCACTAACTAATCCAAGTTTCTAAAGTATCAACAGTTCAATGGGGCTTAAACTGGATTTCAGCCCCAGAATGCTTTTGATCTCATTCTCTCCCCCCCCCACATACACACACTAAGAAAACATGTTTAAGAAGCATATTTGCCTGTGATCAATTTGTGTACTGAAGTTTAGCTTCCAAGATTATCCAGCTGACTGTGAGAACCTGGCTAGCAATGGCTCAAGAAACCACATGCATCAATCTCAATAACGGTTTCTCTTTAAAGCAAAACAAAGCATGGGGGATATAACTCTTTTTGTTTTACTTGATCCCTCCATACATTAAATGCCTTTGCCTGCTGATGTAAAAAATCCAAGTCTCTGCCTGGTGATGTAATGTATATAGTCTGCTCTGATAACCAAACATTAGCCTAGGTGCATTTTAGCAAGCACTTTTTGTTTACTTCCTCTATGTGTACTTATACCCCACTTTTCTTCCCAGGAGGTCAAGCTGGCATACATGGTTCTCTCCCTCTCCTGCCCCCTCTCCATTTTGTCCTCAGAACAATGTGAGGTAGATTTGGCTAAGAGATCATCACTGGCCCAAGCTCTCAGCCGTATAGCTGAATGGAGATTTAAAACAGGATCTCCTCATTTTTTGCATTTGGAAAATATATTGCAGTGGGTGTGCAGGACTAGGAGGCGCAGGAAGGAAGTAAAACCTCAAAGGAAGAGATCTACTTTACCAACCAGTAGACATTAAAAGAGAGGAATCAGTGATGAAGAAGAGGTAGCTTCTCTGTGTATCACCCCACACTGATTCAGGTAACATATTGCAAGCACTGTGGGTTTACTTCCATCACCAAAGGCAGGGGGAGCTTGACAGGTTCAGTTGCACCGGGTGTGAAGCTTCTGGGGTGCCGCAGGAGGTGCCACAACTATGAAGTCCAACAGAAGGCAAGAGGCAGGGGTGCATGTTGCATTTTGGTGTTGCACAGGGTGCCACTGAAATTTGAGATGCCAAGGTCTGCCACTGCCAACATCCCATCCTAGTCCAAGACTCCAAGCACTACTCCACACTCTCAGTGTGTGTGTGTGTGTAGTGTACAGTCTTCAGTATACATGAGGGATGGAGAACTTGTTGTTTTTGTTCTACAGCTTCCACCATCCTTGACCATTGGCCATCCTGGCTGCGGGTGACAGGAGTTAAGAGTCCAACAACACCTGGAGGGTCACAGGTTCTTCATCCCTGCTTTACATACACCATCAATTTGGTCTGCCTTTGGAAGTGGAAATGTGCCCCCTTGCTGCCAAAGTTTTGCTTCAACAGCTGCTTCACCCCTAGGCCATGTGAAAATTGCGCTCCAAATCATGGTCTATTAAAAAATAAAAGTAGTTGCATTGTTCCATAAGAAAGAAAGAAGAATCCAAAATCCCTACTATTTTGGTGGTCTGAATAGAGGCATTTCTGAAATATTATATATTAAATTAATTCAAAACCCAAGACTAACATGGATCAAAACTGCAAATGTCACACCTAGTGTGAAGAACTAGGTGTGCTTAATCCCACTTATTTAAATGGCCTTGACTTTACCAAACTGTCCTCCTCCTTCATGACTGCAATCTGAGGCTGATTCATTTGGAAACAAATCCCATTAAATGCACTACTTGCAAATTGTATGAACTGATTTTAATACTGCATTTCTTATATTGGTGCATCCTGCCTTGGGACCTCTGGGGAAGGGTGAGAAAGAAATCCAATCATTATCGTTAATTAAAGAATAATAGTTCAGAAGAAATGTGCTTTGAGGCCAGGGTCTCTCTCAGCCCTTCCTGGAGCTGTCAGGAGCTGAACATGGGACCTTTTGCACGCAGAGCAGGGATGCTCTATCTCTGAGCTACTGTCCTGACCGTGAGAGATGAGTCCCGGTAGTAGGACTCATTAACTCCTCGCTTTCTTTCAGTTCTCCTACTTTATTTCCTTGAACTCTTTTTTTTTTAGCCCGTTAGGCGATAGGGAGGAAGGGGATTTCTTTCCCGACCCCCATCTCATTCTGCGCGCTGCGTAGCCCCCGGCGCGAGACAGAGCCGCTTTAGGACCGCGAGGAAAGCCGCAAGACGCGCAGGGGAAACAGCTGGGCGCGACCACCTTCTCGGAGAGGGTGAGGCGCGCCGCTCCCTCCGCGCGAGGTCCTCTTTCGGCGCGCGCCTCCGCCCGCCCGCCGCCCCCGAACCGCGGGCGCGAGTGGTATCTTCCAGCCGAGGACTATCTCGCGGCCAAATGAAGGAGCGCTGGCAAGCTGCTGCCGCCGCTGCCCAAGGTAGCCTCCAGAGCAGCAGCAGCAGCCGAGGAGGAGGGAGGAGGAGAGACCAGCAGCTGCTGCTGCTTCCTCCGCCGGCGCCAACGCCGCCAGCTGAGCGAGCCGGCCGGTCCTCGCAGGCTCCTGCTGAGGCTCCTCAGCCTCCCAACTCTCGGCGAGGGAGCCCGGCCGGTTCCTTTCCCGTTGGCTCTCCTCCTCTCGCCGCCTCGCCCTCGCCTCACACGCCGGGACAAAGCCATGAAGGCGGCGCTGCTGGAAGTGATGAGGATGAACCGCGTCTGCCGGATGGTGCTGGTCACTTGCTTGGGCTCCTTCGCGCTCGTCATCTTCTATTTCCAAAGTATGTTGCACCCAGGTAGGGCGGCTGCTGCTCCTCCTTGGCTTCTCCTCCTCGCGCGCCCTTCGCGGGGACTTGGCGCGGCGTCGGTGTCTGGGGCTCCGGGGCTCCGGGGCCGGAGGGAACGCGGGTGGCGGGAGGCCAGAGGAAAGTCCGGCGAGGGAGCACCACCTCCGAGGCCACGGGTGGGGAGAGGGGGGGTAGAGCCGGGTCGCCCGGGGGTCGCTGGTGAGGGGACGGCCAACTTCCGAGGGCGGGAGGGGGGGCTCAGAGAGGTGGGGATCGGGGTGAAGGCAGGGGTGGGGGGTCCGGGGAAGGAGGCGAGGGACCGAGAGCTCCCTTTTTTTTGGAGGGGGGAGGAATCCCGCCGGCAAGATCGCGCTGCTGTGCCGGGGCTGCGGGAAGAAGGGCGGCCCGAGCGGGGCGCCTGCTGCTGGTGACGGGCTCGCCTCGTTCCTCTCGCCGGCTTGGAGCTGCTGGCCATGTGCGCGCAGACGTTGGAGGAGATCCCGGCTGCGCCGCCGCCGCCGCTGCAGCAACATCAGCATCAGCATCGGAAAGGGGCCGGAGGAGACTCCAAACGCCGCAGCCCTGGACTTTTCTTGTACCGTCTCTTCTTCTTCTTCTTCTGTAAAGGAGGGTTTCCGTGGTGGTTGTGGGGGGCGACGACTCCGCCCATTATTTTGCCTCTCTGTCTGTCTCTCCTTACTTGAAGGAAAGGCACTTTCCTGCAATGATCAAACTGGGAACGATGGCAAGGTCCCTTGCTGTCAAGTTAACTCCACGGGACTTGCTTTACGGTGGGAGCATTAAAATACAGAAATGTGGAGTTTCAGAAGTGGGACTGATGATTGATTGATTGGCAGTTTTGCCCTGCCTTTCCTCCAAAGAGGTCAAGGCATTCTACACGGTCCTTCCCTGTTTTGATGGTCACAACAACCCTGCAAGGTAGATCATGATGAGAGAGAGAGAGAGAGAGAGAGAGAGAGAGTAGCCCAAGGGCACCCAGTGAGCTTCACAGCCCAGTGGAAATCTCAGCCTGGGTGTCCCCAGTCAAAACCCGTTGCTCTAAGCACCAAACTGCGGAAACTTTCCCAACCCCAGAGATCCTTGGCTCTCTGTGCCTCCCCACTGCCACTTGCTTCTAGTGTTTTTCTTGCTTTTTACTCTGCTGTATAGCTAGCCCACAGGGACTGCTACCCATAGCCCAACTTGCACGAGACAAACGCAAAAGCTCTGTAAATAAAATCCATTAACGCATCCATTTAAGTGAAGGACCTTAGCCCAGCGGGGGAGCATGTGCTTGGCAGGTAGAATGTCCCAAGTTCAATGACTGAGTCTCATTTGGGAGAGATTCCCCCCCCCCGAAATCCTTGAGAGCCGCTGCCAGTCAGCGTAGGCAGTATTGAACTAGATGGACCAAATATATGCAGCTGCCTTAAATCATCCTCTTTTCTTGGCAAGGTGGTAAACTGAGTCAGGTTGTACTCTGTACTCTGTATAGTTGAAGTAAAAAATTCTAGCCCACAGTTATTTATCTGGCTGAATTGAATGGGGAGGGGGAGACTGGGGGGGGGAGAGAGAATGTTGTGGATTAATGTGGTGGTAGGAAAGAGCAAAGAAGCACAAGCTTGTGTTGTTTCCTGCAAAGTGCATCTCCAACAGGGTGGGCAAACCTTCAGTCGCCCAGAAGGAAGCGTGTTGTGAGGAGCTTTAAAATCTTTGTTTAGTTGCATGTAAAATATTTATATCCTGCCTTTCCACCCGCTGTCTCCAACAAGTCGGGTTTGCATAGCACCATTGCCTCAGTGCAGCAGCAGAGAAGGAGGAGAAAGATCAACTTGCCTGCTGTTACATATATGGGGTTAGGGATTGGAATTCTCATGGCTGGATCAGGGAGAGCCTTGCAGGCAACGCTTGGTGGATTCATCGAAAAATGGGTGGAAATGAGCAGATGTGGCTGGCTGTCTTCTTGCACATTTTTGGGTGTGTGTGGAGAGGGGAAGGGTTTGCCTAGGATGGTGTCACTGCTGTGGCCAGATTGTAGAGTGAGGGTTTTCAGAAGCCACCTTTATGGCAGTGGCTTTTTTCCCTTGTAGTATAGCAGGTTAGAAAGAAGCCTTTCTCAAACTTGGTGCCCTCCATACGTTTTGGACGACAACTCCCATTGGTCCTTGGCAGCATGCCCAATGGTCAGAGATGATGGGATTTGTAGCACAAAACATTTAGAAGGTGCTAGCTTGAGGCTAAACTCTGCGCGGCAGGTAGTTAGCTGTATTACTGCCAGGGGTAGAATTGTACTGGGGACTAGTGGAGAAGCTAGCTTGCCAAATTTGCCAAGTTTCGGTAGTCAGACACGACAGCTGGAGTGGGGAGAGTCATGCACCAGACTAAATATCCTTTTTAGGCTGTTGCTTAAGCTTCATAAACTCCGTAGGGTGCTTTCCAACCAGGGTTCAGCATGTTTATGGCTCAAATTCTGTACACACTTACCTAGGAGAATTGAGCTCAGTGGGGCTGGTTTCTGAGTTGACTTAAAGAGGGAGGATTTCATATTTAAGCACTGTTGCGTTCAAGGAGGGGGTTAAGTAGATGCTGCTCAGTTGTTTCCCAAGGAAAGCAGAGACCTTTAAAGATGCTTAACTTTTGCCTCTGCAGAATCTTATTCCCGTTTCCTCTCAAGTAAGCCTCACCTGAAGCTCACTGAAAGGAATCCTATGTTTACTCAGGAATAGCGTATGTGCACACTTTCTGTTCTTCCTACATTTCTGAAATGTTTGCCATGGTTCAGCATTTATAATTGCTATCAGAAATTGCAAGATTCCAGAAAAAACAGTATCCACACACATCCACACACAGAGGCAATCTTCTCTTCTATCCATAACTCATTATAAATGCTTTTCTGCATGTGTCCTTCCTTGGCTGTGAACCTACGATTGGCTTTCCTACAGCAACAAGGGCAGGGGAGGAACTCGCTTTTCACTTACGGCCTGCTGTCTTCTGCCTTACTGTTTCTCCCACGATGCACTACAGAGGATGTAATAGAGAGATTTTTTGCCACTTGCCAACTGTCAGTTTAACACAGCTGATAAGAAAGTCTTGCCAATTGTTCCTACAGCAACAGTTTTTTTTTTTATAAAGTCTTTTTACAAGACTCGCCTGCCTGTTGCTGTGTGCATGGATATCGTAACTGGCTGGGAATTTTTGCAGAACTGCACTGGTCAGCTCTGTGGACACGTTCTGCTTCTAGAGGGAGTCAGGTCCCCCCCACCCACAGTAATTTAGAAATGCAGGACCTGAACACACTGTAGTGGAATGTTTCACCAGCTAGCTTAGTGGCCTGTGCTAGAATGCACGTGAAATAATTTTACTAGCAATTGCAGACACTTTTGGATGTTTAAGTCCTGTCTTGCCATCAGTAGAGCTTATATTGCAGCTTGGTAAATAAAACACCCCAGAATACTCTTGCTTGAGCTGTTTGCATGTACGTACCTTCAGGCACTCCTCAAACAGAGCAGGCACAGTGAGTCAATGCAACTGCTCTTTTCATATAAAGTGTAGTGAATACTAGAAATTGTGAACCAAACCAGAGCAGGGACTCCCTTTTTTAATTGTGAGGGAACAATATCCCTGAGGACATCTTTTGGGTTTTTTTTGGAGGAAGGTGCTTCCTAGGCCTATGAATCCAGATATACTGATAACCGATGATGGCAATTCACTTGCTACACTTATCTTATTTATTTATTTATTTATTTATTTATTTCATTTCTAGCCCATCTTTCTACTGAAACGGTGCCCCAGAATGGCTTACCTATTAAGTCTGTAAATGGCTGGAA